ATGACTGCCGCTGTTTGTCCTCCATCAGGTGAGTTCACCCCACCGACCCAACCTCAGGTGTGGACTAACTGCAGGTACCAGCCATGCTGCTCCCCCTTCTTCTGCGCCCGTCCCTCCGCTGCTCTCAGGCCTCTCAGGTCCTGTTAACACGATGTGTGCGCTGCGACGCCTCTCGGACACTGCACTCTCAGGCTGAGCACTTCCTGCGACGGAGGCTCCCCCTGCGCCACCACACACAGAGCCGAGGCACCAAGAGCCGAGGAAGGAAGTCCAGGAGCCAGGAGGAGGATTGGAAAACCAGGAACAAGACAGTGCTGACGTACATCGCCGCTGCAGGGGTGGGGATGATCGGCCTGTCGTACGCTGCAGTGCCGCTCTACAGGCTCTACTGCCAGGTGAGGAGACACTTCCTGTCCCTGATGTGCTCAAGCTCAGCACCTGCATGTGTGACCTTTCTGTTTTGTCTGTCAGGCCTCGGGGCTCGGCGGCATGGCGGTGGCCGGACATGACGCAGATCAGGTGGAGACGATGAAGCCGGTGAAGGAGCGGGTCCTTAAGATCACCTTCAACGCAGACACACACGCCAGCATGCAGTGGAACTTCAGACCGCAGCAGACAGAGATCTACGTAAGATCTGGTTCCTCCTCAACACCAACACTCCTTATCAATAGAAATCAGATTATTGTACAGCAAGTCTCGTGAAAACTCTGTGTGTGAGAATGTGAAGGCGACACATCTTAAGTCTCTCCAACCTGTCACTTAACAAATGTTTCCTCAGAAGTCTTTTATTTCTTATTTAAAGCAAATCTGACGGCAGTTAGTTTATTTTTATGCTGAATGTTGATCTTGTTTCATGTGATATGTTTCTTGCCTTATTCTTTCCATTATTGGTTGAAGACTGAAATAAATTCAAAGTCTGGCTGCATGACGATGACCTGTGGATGACCTTTCTGAGATTAATCAGAAACTTTAATGTGTTTGTTGTGCAGGTGGTTCCAGGTGAGACGGCGCTCGCTTTCTACAGAGCAAAGAACCCCACAAATAAACCCATCATCGGCATCTCCACCTACAACGTGGTGCCCTTCGAGGCCGGACAGTACTTCAACAAGATCCAGGTAGTGTAACGTCATACTAATATTATCATTGTTATTTTTATCTTTATTTGTAGTGTTTTTGTTACCTTAAAATGAGTCGTTGTCTGCAGAGGTCGCCATATAGCACCACCATGTTTCTACAGTAGCCCAGAACAGACAAACCAAACAGTAACTCTAGATTGGGACATTTGTGTTTTTGCATCTCTACTGTAGTTAGCAGTCAGAAAAACACTAATTTTTGCAACATGTAACTGCTTTATTAATTGTTTTTACCGGTTTAAACCGCTATTTTTTGTTTATTTTTTGGAGAGAAAGAAACCTCTGTGGATAATTCAGCTCCCGGTAAAAACCTCTGTAACAATGAACACTGAAGGAATTGTAACTGGGAGAAGTTATAGCTGGTTGCAATCAGCAGTCCTCACTGCTCAGTGTCACTAAATCCCCCTAAATCTGAGGCACTGGACCTTTAAGTGTGTTCCTTCTACGTCTTTAACATTCTGTGTGTTTATGTAAAAAAAGCAGCCTGACAGAACGGTTTTATTATCTTTGAAAGTGATTTTTCACAATAAAAACATTTAAAAGAGGATCCAGATTGTCTGAATACATCACAACTAATATTTCTGTGGTCGTCCCTCTGCAGTGTTTCTGCTTCGAGGAGCAGCGACTGAACCCTCACGAGGAGGTGGACATGCCCGTCTTCTTCTACATCGACCCAGAGTTTGACGAAGACCCCCGGATGGCCCGAGTGGACACCATCACCCTGTCCTACACCTTCTTCGAGGCCAAGGAGGGTCAGAAGCTCCCTCTGCCCGGATACAGCTACAACTGATCCGTACACACAGGGAGGGTCACGGAAACCATGTGAATGTGAATGTGAAATGCATTGCCCCCCAAAAAAGACTTAAACCAAACAACAACCAGATTTTTTTTTTATTAAATCAAGAAAAAAGCTTCAATGTAAGTCTTGTTGTTTTCAGTGTCTCAGAGTTTGAGGGTCCACTGTAAAGGTTGTAAACAAAATATTCTAGATTTTATTCTGAGAATAAAGTTAAAATATTTGAAGAAAGGTGTGTAATATTCTTCAATAGAAAAGTCAAAGTCCTGATTTAATTTAATACGAGATGGGAGCAGGGTGTCATCTGAGGTTTCACATAAAAGCAGCTTCAGGATTCATGTATTCACTCAGTGTAGCCTGAGAAAAAGAAGACATTTTGCAGATTTTTTTTTCTTTTAAAAAGTTGCATTTTCCCCCTAAATATTTTACCTTAATTCTCAAAATATCACATTTATTTTTTCTAACAGTGGTCCTAATTCTCTGTAACAGAATAAACCAGGTGTTCACTCATCCTGGAAAACCTGGAATTCTTCAATGCAGCTTCACAGTCATTGAAAAGTCCTGAAACAAGTTTAAAGTATCAGAATCTATAAATTCCTTCTCGGTGGCTGATACACATTTGAAGGTGTCGAGGTGAAACCTTTCTGAGAAAAGAGTTCGCTGGATGAGTTTTTCTACATTTCACCTGAACTGAGGAACAAAAACTGTCAGAACTCTGGAGACTGAACTTTTCTCTGTCGATGAAAGACATGGAGACTTCAGACCCGAAGACCTCCAACTGTTGGTGTGTGTGCATTCTGACATCTGAGAGACTGTACATGTATAAATGAGATCATGATTACAGCTGATAATTGTTTTAAAGACTGAAAATATATGAATAAATTATGACTACAAACTGAATCTGGACCTCTGCAGAGATTTCACTGAACCGACAGTTGTTTTTAAAGGTTTTTAAAAATCACCGTTCAAGATTTTCAAACCAGTTTAACAACACAGCGATGAAAACATTCGAAGACGTGAGACTGTTAATGGGCAGCATGAGAGAATTAAATATTTAGGATCTATGTTGTTTTACGAGCTCTAATTTCATGAACAAAAAACTTGACATTAAGATGGTGCCGTGCTGCGATAACTGTCGCCAGAGCCATTATGTTCTCAGGTTGTCCGTCCATCTTTTCCGAGGTATGTACATCCGTCTGTTTATATTAATGTTGGCCTGTCTGTTTGTACGTGTGTCCCATTCTCATGAGCACGACATCTCAAGAACACCTTCAGGGAATTTCTTCAAATTTAACACAAACGTCCACTTGGACTCAGTGATGAACAGATTAGAATTAGGTGGTCAAAGGTCACTGTGACCTCACAAAGCATGTTTTTGGCCATAACTCAAGAATTCACACACCCAATTATAACAAAATTCCGCACAAATATCTTCTAAAGGATAAAAACAGGATAAAATAATAAAGGTCAAAAGGTCAAAGGTCAGCTTGACAGTGACATCATCATGTTTTAACGTCATATCTCAGGAACAGAAGGGGAGACAATTGAATTGGTTACTCTGATCTTGAAATTGTGCTGATTGTAGAGATCTTCTGTGTGGGAAGCATCCATGTTTTAGAATATGTTACATCTTTGCAGCAGCATGTGAAGCAATGACAACTGTCCTGACTTCACATGAGTCTGGACAGATGTGAATTTTTGTTCTATAATTCAGTTTGGACACCAGGTGGCAGCAGAAGAAAAGCAACACTTCAGTGCTGCATGTTTGAAGGTGGCATTTGTTTATACAGGAATCTGGAGATGATCCATAACTCCGCTCTGAAATGTCATCGTTTTGTCTAAATCAAATGTGACAGTAATGAACAAAAACAAATTATTAATTCTGAGATAACAGTGGCCTCGAAAAATATTTGAAGGGTCCAGTTTATCACTCACAACTATGTTTCTATGAGTTTGTAATCACCTGTTTTTGTTTTCATAACCGTAGTTAAGTTAGATGTCTCTAAATTCCAAACACTGGACCTTTAATTAACAAATTTTCTTCCATTTAAAGTCTAATTTCAGATCGTTATTAATGTCTTCAGATAATGCATGTGGGATTATTTTGATCATGTGATGTTGGCACCAAGGATGAGCTGTCATGCTTTTATTTTGTAGACTCAGAAAGGAAGTGGTGCGGTCATCTCAGCCCGTCCAGCCTGACGTCACTCCTGGGAGCCAATCAAACTCCTGCTCGCGTGTGTTGACGGACGTCTTCAACGTCAGGCATGAGGTTGCCCTAGCAACTCACAGGGTGGACCAATCAGACGGAGGCAGGAAGGGCTGAACTTCGCCCCCCCACCACCTCTCCTCCTCTCCTCCGCCATCCCCATCCTCGACACCACCTCCGCTGGAACAGGAGGCGGAGGGAGTGAGGCCACAGACCCATCAGCTCTTCCTCCTCAGTCCGGAGTCCTGGAGCCGAACTGAACCAGAGGATTTTTACCTTCGTGCGTAAAAGCGCGGCGCGTCCAGAGCGCGCGGATGGCACAGAGGACGCAGTAACCGCGTCCTGTGATTGTTGTCAGTGTTGGTGGTTCACGCTGGACACTTGTAGCTCTTCTGGACACAGGCTGAACCAGGTGACCCAACTGTTTGTTGCGTGCAAACAGGCGCAGAGTCTCTCGTGGATCGCGGGGAGACTTTAACCGTCGCGGATTTATTTCGGCGGACTTTACACGTCTCTGTCTCCCGTCCTCCCGCTTTGGACCGGGGTGTTAAAGGAGGAGGAGGAGGAGGAGGAAGAGGGGGTGGTCGGCTGTGTGCTGCCGAGTCTCATCTCATGATGGGACACGGCAGCTGTCATCTGCCGCGAGGATGAGCCACAGAAGCAGCCCGGCCAGGGCGTATGACTTTCTGCTCAAGTTCCTGCTGGTGGGGGACAGCGATGTGGGGAAGGGCGAGATCCTGGCGAGCCTGCAGGACGGAGCCACCGAGTCCCCGTACGGATACAACATGGGTGAGTGACCAGCGGGCTGGAGGGGGGTGTGGGGTGTGTGTGTGTGGGACTCAGTGGGTGGAGAGGAGGTCATTTATTTATCTCGAACCCGCCTGTCAGGTTCTTTTTGGGGGTTTTACGCGCATGGATTTCCTGGTTTTACGCACGGGTTACGCAAGGGCGGAGAGCTCTGAGCACTAGAGGATCAAACCAGATCAGATCCAGGAGCTCTCATGACACAAACCAACTCATCACACACACACACACACACACACGATTTGATGATTTACTGGTCGGTTCCTTTGGCACTGAATCCCAGGCTAAAGTCTAAAGTTAATAAACTGGGACACACTAAAGCTTTAGTCAACAGTGTAAAGTACCGAAGTACGTTTACTCAAGCACTGAACTGAAGTACAAGTTTGAGGTACTTGTACTTTTCTTGACTGTTTCCATTTTCTGCCCTTTTTTTAATAACTCAAGTACAACTCAGTTTTACATTTTCAACAGCTGTTGTTATTGAACAGCTTCATTCTGTAGAGCCGTAACAGTGCACGATCATATCTATGCAGTACCTTATATTGTGTGAGCTTTCCCCTGGCTTCTTCCACATAATCACCACATCCTGACACAATGTTAGACAATCTGTCACCATCAGTTTCTCCCTCGAGGTCCCTTTGCCAAATCAGTTTCACACTAAGAGATGTTATCACACAGGAGGGAGTTAGTTACTTCATAAAGCTGTGAAGCCTTGTGGCTTTCCAGTGGACATTTGAGATAGTTTATAATTATGTTATCAGCTATATTGTAGGACTTTGACATAATACAACTTCTTATCTGTAAAAACGTCCTCGCTCAACCAGATCCTCAAAACCACGGGAATGCCACTGCTTCCAATACATAGTATAATTTTCTGCTCTTTTATACTTCTCCTCCTCCTCTACATCCAAGAGGGAAATATTGTCCTTTTTACCGCACTACATTTATCTGACAGCTTTAGTTACTTCACAGATTGAACATTAAAACCATATGACAAGCTAATTAATTAAAATATAGTATTGATGTTTGATTGATTCATCATCTCACATGTATCTGGTGACCCTTTGCAGGGCCCTGACCCTGAGGTTGGGAACCACTGGACTAAAGTAACTAAAGTTAAAACAAGCTTGTGTTTCGGGTAAGAACTGTGTAATCATAGGAGCTTTAAAGGCCTTATCCCTGGGGGGACGCCAGAGAACCCCAGGCCCCAGTTTGAGAACCACTCTGCAGTTACACCTCCAAAACACTGGTTGGTGATGGAGTTTCTATGAAATGCTGTAAAGTTTAGTTGATTCAAAACACACATTAAACACACAGTAAACACGCATTAAAAATGGCTTAATAAAGACAGTTTCAAACACAAATCAGCTTCACTATAACTCGCAGCATTCACAGACAAAGCACTTGTCTTTATCTGGACACATTTTCCCCACAAATACAACATGCTAATGTTTTTAGCACAAGCCTATGGCATTTTACATTGTATAAATTAGCCTAGCAGCTAGCAGAGATTTCCTCTGCTCATATGAAGCCAGGATAAATCACACACAGGACTTAAAATGCTATTTTTGTGGAGGCTTTATTGTCTTCACAATTCATTGTTTCTTATCTGTGAAATTAAAGTGAATAAAAGCTTTGTTTCCGCTGAGGGAAATGGTCTCATCTTACAGAGACAGACAGGAGGTCTGTGTTGCTGAGAGGCGTAGTTATATTTCTGGGCAGGTGCATGTCAGCCTACGTTGTAGGGTACAGTGCAGGCTCTACGCTGACACAGAGCCTACACCGCGGGTATACCATTGATTCGATGCAAAAATATAAATCCCGCATAACACCTAGCGCTAGCAGTGGTTGTGGGCGGGATGGAGGCCAAATCCAGAATTTTTCAGTGAGGCAGAAAGAGTAGATCTGCTTCCAGACCCCTCTCAGAGTTTTTATGCCTCTTGGCTGGCGATAGTCATGGCCAGAGGAATTATGATTTTGGGTTGTCCGTCCATCCCATTCTCGTGAACGCGATATCTCAAGAACCCCCCCCCCCCCGAGGGGATTTCTTCAAATTTGGCGCAAACGTCCACTTGGACTCAGTGATGAACAGATTAGGTTTGGCGGTCAAAGGTCACTGTGACCTTACATCAGTCTCATTCTCTTGAATGCAATACCTACAGACGACCTTGAGGGGATTTCTTCAAATCTGGCGCAAGCGTCCACTCAGACTCAAGGATAACCTGATTGGATTTTAGTGGTCATATGTCAAGGTCACTGTGACCTTGTGTGAAAGCAATATGTCAAGATCACCTTGAGGACATTTCCTCAAATTTGGCACAAATGTTGACTTGAACTCTACAATGAATTTATCAGATTTTGGCGGTCAAAGGTCAAGGTCACTGTGACCTCACAAAACATGTTTTTGGTTTTACAGCATCATCCATATTTGAGGCATTGTTAACTATCATAACAACATATGACTGTAGATTGACATGGATGTAAACTTTAATTGTAACTTGATTGGTCTGCAGAGGCATACAAACAGGAAGCGGTAATTCTGTTTTTTTTATGGAGGAAAATCATGTTAAACCAGATACTCGTATGATTATACTCGAAACGTTTCTGGAGGGGGGCTTAAAGGAAAAAACCTGATGTGTTGAGCTGTTACTGCAGACTCTGCACAGTGTGTACTATGTTGCAGCTGAATGAGGTCTAATGTTGGCAGATGTTGATTTCTCCGGCGTGTCTGTGCACGTCGTCTCAGCAGCTGTGGGAAAACATCTTCACTTCTGTCAGCAGAGTCTGTTGATCTGCAGTTGATCTGCCTGCTGTCGTCCTGCAGCGTCACTCAGTCTGAAACTGTTTCACCAATTATAAAGAAATCAGGACGTTCAAACAAGAATGAGCCGAATCACGAGAAATTATTCGTAGATTAACATCCGTCACTGATGTTTGATGGACAGAATTAAAGGAGTGGTGACTGTCTGCTGTTAGGAGTTGTTGAGTTTGGTGGAGAGAGTAAAACTCAGTCATTAAAAAGTACACTGAAGAAGGTGTTCCTGACCTTTACCAACAACATGAAAGTAGTGACCTGTTAGTTGCCAGCTTTGCTTCAGACTGCAGTTATCACAGTGAAACTGCTTTTTATATTTTCATGATAGAGTATTAAATGATTTTGTCCCATCAGACGCAGGAAAATTCAAAGTGTTCTCCAGGATGGAAGTGATGTGTCTGACTTCCTGGACAGTAGGAGACGGTTGTAGGTTTGCAGGGTTGGTAGTGTTCGTCGTCAGTGCCCCTCTGTATCCGTTAAATTTACATTTCAGTAGTTTGTATGACAAACTTTGGCTGACATGAGGCGTCAGTGATGTCAGGTACTTCTTGATTATTTAGCGGCAGGTTCAGGTTGATGTTATGGATTAAATCTACCATGATACATTTTATTACATTTTATAATTCAGCCTGTGATTTACAGTTTAATTGTGTTGTATGAATTATAAGATCTTCATCAGTTCCTTCTGCAACTGAAACATAGGTGCAGAGAACAAGAATACAGAAGAACAAGGGAGCAACAACTGGTTATTTTAGAGGAAAGGAGGAATAAATTATCCTCTATTTATTATTTATTCTTGTAAATACTGGGACCTTTGGGGGTTCAGTTCTGGTAAACAAAACAATTACCTTTCTTTACCCCCACAGGTTTAGTCGTGTATTATAACTAGACATAATTATTTTATAGGTTCCACAGAATATAATAGAGTGTTGTTGACACAGTGTTTCCCAGATGTTTGTTCTCCAGCACTGCACCCTGTAAGAAAACACTGTTTACAAAAATACTTGCAATATAATTGATTTTCTTAGTACCAACTGAGCATGGTTTAAACACCACAGCCTACCTGAGTATTGTTGCTGAGCGTGTCCATCCCTTTATGACCACAGTGTACCCATCTTCTGATGGCTACTTCCAGCAGGATAACGCACCATGTCACAAAGCTCACATCATCTCAAACATGACAATGAATTCACTGTACTCCAATGGCCTCCACAGTCACCAGATCTCAGTCCAATAGAGCACCTTTGGGATGTGATGGAACGGGAGATTCTCATCATGGATGTGCAGCCGACAAATCTGCAGCAACTGTGTGATGTCATCATGTCAATATGGACCAAAGTCTCTGAGGAATGTTTCCAGCACCTTGTTGAATCTATGACACCAAGAATTACAAAGGGGGTCCAACCTGGTGAATTATTTTTATCAATGCTGGCATGTTTTTTGACAGTTGCAAAACAATGACGTCAGTTCAATCATCAGTGCTGCTGGAAACTAACAACAACAAGGATTCATGGTGGAGAGGAAGAAATGGTTTGAAGTGTGTCTTCATTTCATGTAGAAACATGACATCAGTGCTGCATGTGACGTCGGTAAAATGATAATATCAAGTAAGACTAGAAACACCAGCAGTATGATGAAATATCTCTCTACCAACATGGGCCTAACTTCCATGAGTCCCATGTGTTTGACACGCTACACACAAGTGCCACAGCTTCCCAACCAAGCAGCACATCTGTTATCAAGGATAAATATCGTGTTGTAATAACATCAGTACCACACAGGCAGGACGAGGAGAGTTTCTCTTTGACTGAGAAAACCTTAATGAAGACTAATGTTCTACAAATTTACACTGTGTTCAGACTCACAGATAATAAAACAGTGTACTCGGGTACTGTTCGCGTGTACTTGGGTACAGTTCGTGTGTACTCAGTACAGTTCGTGTGTACTTGGGTGTAGTTCATGTGTACTCGGGTACAGTTCGTGTGTACTTGGGTACAGTTCGCGTGTACTTGGGTATAGTTCATGTGTACTCAGTACAGTTCGTGTGTACTCGGGTGTAGTTTGTGTGTACTCGGGTACAGTTCGTGTGTACTTGGGTACAGTTCGTGTGTACTTGGGTACAGTTCGCGTGTACTTGGGTATAGTTCATGTGTACTCAGTACAGTTCGTG